TCATTTTCTTTCATAGGTACTTCTCAACGGCCCTGGAGAGTCCTGCTTCAATAAAAAATATTAGTAGGTGGAGAAAAAAAAGTAACTCTGCAAAGGAAAATAATCCCCCCAAAATGTCCAGGTTACATAGTCATTATTCAGAGTACTTTATTTTTTATAAAATGGAATCTCACAAATATTAAATAAACAATACTTTGAGCTAAACAAAGTTATTCAAGTTAGTCAAGTCAAATAAGAATAAACTAACTACAAGTTGCATATCTAGAATTTTTAATGCTAAAATATATAGGATTTCAGCTATTGCCATGAATAACCTATTAATATAAATAAGGATGAACACTAAACAAGCTGCATACCTTTAGTAACTTAAATTAACTATGTAATTCATGATTCATTGTCTTATTATACACACTGGTAGAGCTCTACAGGTATGCCTCGCTATACACAAACTGGTATTCTATATAAACATTTACCTTCTTAAAAAAACCTGGTTTTTATATTAAAAGTAATACATGTACATAGTAAAAAAGTAAAAGTGCCCCTTATTCCATATAACTCCTATCAGGTTAACTACTAACAAGTTAAACTTTATTTTAAATGTACAAAGAGGGCTTCAATACTTATAGGATCTGCTATGTAGAAAAAAATTATTAAACAAGCCCCATCCCCAATTATCTGATTGTATTTTTATATTCAACACGTATTTTCTTAAGTGATGCATACCTGTACAGCTCCATTCTAAGGGTTGCTAAGATATTCCTGCATACTGCAAGACAAACAATGTTGACATTGTGGCACACTGGCAATGTGGTATCTGGCGGTCACGGTAAAAAGGCTTTTGGAACTCTTAGTTCATGAGATCATTTCAATATATTGTATATCCCTGGGACACATGCTATCTCCTGTGCCTCAAGATAAATAAGGTAGCTCTAAATTCAAACAAAGGATATTTTTTAATCATATTAAAATCTTTTGAATTCCCCAAATGTGCCTGCCTATATGTCAAACTCATTTTCACCAGGGGCCACATCAGACTCAAGGTTGCCTTCAAAGGGCCAAATGTAATTTTGGGACTGTATAAATGTAATTACTCCTTAACTAGGGGCAAGGAGCTTGGCATTGCCACCGCATAGAAACAAGGTGCTGGGCCGTATGAAACAAGGTGGAGGGCTGGATTCTGCTCATGGGCCTTGTGTTTGCCCACTGTGGGTTAGAGTCATTAAGATTGATCAATAGTTTACGGGTCAATATTTATTCTTTAATGGTATCATTCTATTTAATCTACATCAATATAAAAATGAGCAATCTACTTAAGCAATATCAAAAGTGTGCTATCTAGGTTCTGTGTTTGTGTTTTTAAGGTCTCCCTTTTATGATTTATGCCTATAAAACAAAATCTAAGAAAAGTTGGTTCTAGAGAGCCAGAATTTATAAAATTTAAAGTCTGTTTTGATTGACTTGGTTTTAAATAAAAATATAATCTTAAAATTTTCAGTTTTTTAATTACTATATAAGCATATTCTTACCAAAAAAACCTTTATGTTTATATGAGTATAACAATAAAAAATGTGTTGCTTTTCTACCTAAAAAAAAAAAAGTAACTCTGCAAAGGAAAATAATTACTTCTGAAAACCATATAGTAAGACAAATTACTATACTATATGTTCATATGTTAACAAAAATGGATATTGCCTATATATGCATCAACATTAGAAGGTCACTATATAGTAGAAAAAAAGCACACCATAGCCAAAACTATTTTCAAATATCCATTTTAAAACTTGAGGTAACTTGGTCCTGACTGGTGTGGCTCAGTTGGTTGGGTGTCATTCTGCAAAGTGAAAGGTCACCAGTTCAATTACTAGTCAGGGCACACCCCTGGGTTGTGGGTCAGGTAGGTCCCGGGTTGGGGGCATACAAGATGTAGACTCAATGTTTCTCTCACACATTGATGTTTCTCTCCCTCTCTCCCTCCCTTCCCACTCTCTAAAAATAAATAAATAAATAAATAGCTTTTTTTAAAAAATTTAAGGTAATTTGGAAATCTTTTACAAATCAATATATTTGTAACTTAGGCTCATACATTTCATTTGCCAGGCCACTGCCAGTGATTTCAGTTTCACACTAACTACAGGAAGGAAACAAGTCTGGCTACTTTCTCATAAATAACTAACCTCAACTTAATTATATGTTGATTCAGCTCCGCTCCCACATTTATAACAAGTTTTAACTAGGAGAGGTGCAAACCGCAATAGTCAAACACCAGCAAAGCAATGGGCAAGACAATACAACCTATCTCATGAGTTACTACAAAGAGATCCATTGTTTCTCACCCAATCAAGGGCCTCACTTTTACAAAATTCCCCTCTTATCCCTGTATCAATTTTTCTTTCTTCACTGGTTCATTTCATCAACATTATAACACTTTAATATCTTCCATCCTGAATAAAAATTCTCCGGATACCACATTCCCACTGCCCTATTTGCTTAATTTATAGCAAAATTCCTGGGGGGACGGGAGGGGACCATGTATACTCACAATCTTCATTTCACTCTCAGATTCTTTCTTGAACCTATACCAATCATGCCTTTATCCCCAACACCCCACAGAAATTGTTGTTATCAAGGTAAGCCAGCAACGCCCACATTGCAAAATCCAACGATCAACTCTCAGCCCTCATCTTATTTAACCAATTGGCAGAATTTCACAGAGCTGATCCTCTTCTCCTCTGACACATTTTTTTCATCCTTTTGCCTCCCAGAGACGTCATTCATCCTTGGTTTTCCTCTTTGCTCACTGGTCCTCCTTCAGTATCTCCTTTGCAAATGCTCATCTTCACCCTGTCCTCTACATAAAGTTGTTTGCCTAAGGGAGTTAGTCCTTGAACCTCTTCTCTTGTCTATCTTTATTTTATACCCTAGTCAACCAACTACAGCCTGTGATATATACACTGAAGCAGGCTGGCCCTTATTCCCTGCACTACAGTTCATATATCTAGCTGCCCATTTGAAATCTCTACTTGGATAGCTAATAGGCATCTCAACATTAACATGGTCAAAGTCAATTCCTAGATTCTACATGAACACTTCTACTCCCTACCTCCACCCATTTGCCCCTTGTCAGTATAAAAACAACTCCATCCTTCCAGTTCCACAAGCACCAGAACTTAAAGAGTTCTCACTGACTCTTCTATTTTACTGGTACTTACCTTAGAAATAGATCCAGAATACACTGCTTCTCATCACCCCCACCACTAGCCCTTAGTCAAAGGCACTATTTCATCTCTTTTCTATACTATTGCAATACATGTCCTAAACTGGACTCCCTGTTTCCACAAAACTGAACATCCATACAGCAGGCAAAAGTAATCCTTTTCAAACCTAAGTCAGATTATGTCACTTTTCAGCTCAAAACTTCTTATTACTTGCCATTTCACTTGGAATAAAAACCAAAGTTTTTATGATAGCCTACAAAGCCTCACTGTGACCTAGTCCCTGCTGCCTATCTCATCCATTCCTCTTTCACTCACACATGCCACTCCAGCTACACCAGCCTCCTTGCTTCTTCTCAAACACGCTAAGCATACCCTGCCCTAGAGTCTTTGCTCTTGCTCTTCCCCAGCCTGAAACCCTCTCTCTAGGCATCTGCGTAGCTTCTCTCGCCCATCATTTAGGCTCAAATGTTACCTTCTCAGACCTGTTCTTACTATCCTATATAAACTAGCAACTCCCTACCCATATTGTCACTCTCAATCCTTAACTGCTTTTTTTTTCTTCTTAGCACCCATCAGCACCTGACAAAGAATGTAATTGTTTATTGTCTGTCTTCCTCCAGTACTAAAATGCAAGCACTAAGAGAGAAGTGATTCTAATTTATTCAAAAAGCATCACAAAGAAGAGTACCTGGCATTTAGCCTGGTACATATTTGCTGAATGACCAAATAAATAATTGCAAGTCATTATGCTACAAGTTTAACAAAGATTAGCTCATTTAATCATCAAAAAACTGTATGATGGTACTATTATTCCGATTATATTAATGAGAGAAAAAGCACAAGAGATTAAATAACTTGTCCATCATAAAGTTCGTAGTGGTACAGTCAGTATCCTCTGTCTATTAATGAGATCAAGTGAGAACATACAAATGGAGTACTTAACAAAATGTCTGGCACATAAAATACCTAACATTTATGGAATACTTATTACATGCCAAACATTAATGTAGGATCTTTACACGTTTTTACTCATTTAATTCTCATATTATTTAATAAATGGTTGCTATTATTTTCATTACTTATTATTTATCAGGGTACCAACCTTAACTCAATAAAAGTCATAAAAGATATTGCTGTGAGAAGGAACTCCGCAAACTCCAACTTTAACTCTTCTTAGAAAAATGTTAACATGTGCTTAAAAAATGTGTTTTGAATATTAGCACTGTAAACTAAATCAAAATTAACTGGCTTCCTACCATACACAGGCACATCATTAATAATGTATTTGTCATCTCTCAGTTCTAAAAAGCCCCCTAATATTCAAAGACAAAATACTCAAAGATTTTTATTACAAAAAAATCTATTCCTCTGGCAAAACTCTGATTGCTACTCCATATTGCACCGTATTATGGATAATGCATATTTTTCATTATTAATTTTAAAAGTATGTGGATTAAAGTAGATCTTTTTAATGTTTAAAATAGAACTCACTCATTTATACAAATTATTACTGAAATCACCAAGATTATCTAATATAAATATCCTTCTGCTTTAAGTCAGTTTTATTACCAAAAATAAATTTTTAAATTACTGCACTGAAAAAATAAAGTGGCCAATTTCCTTTACCCTTGAGTTAAAGTCATCGGATTCACGAAATTTACTGAATGTAATTTTGTCAGCTCAGCATATCATTGGGGTTTTGATTTACAGCTCAACCAGCAGACACTCATTCTTTATTAACAATTAACATATGAAATATTCTGGGTAAAGACCCTTAAAACTTACGGTGCAATAATGGCTCTAGCAGGTCTTTTTGTAGACTGTACTTGCGAAAGCCAACCTTCTAGCTGTGCATTCAGCTGCGGTCCTGTAAAAAGAGAAAGAGGGAAATTGGAGTCAGCAAAGCAATGTACTATGGATAACCGTACATGACACAAAACTCACATTAAACCTATTTGGGACTAAAATACCTTAACAGACGGTATAATTATCAGTTTGGATGTTAACATTTGAAAATTAAGCAACTATACACAAGGACTCTAGCAAGCAATATAGTATGGCCAAGTACTGAATAAACTACACTTGCTTTTGTCTATTTGTTCGATCCCTGGTCAGGGCACATGCCTGGGTTGTGGGTTTGGTCCTGAATCAGGGCACTTATGAGAGGCAACCAATCGATGTTCTCTCACACTGCTGTTTCTCTCTCTCTTTCTCCCTCCATTCTCCTCTCTCTAAAATTAAATAAATAAAATCTTTTTAAAAATGATTCATGTTGATACAGAGTTGCAATTCACTCATTTTCGATGCTGTGCAGGAGTGTCCAACCCGTGGGCCCCATGCTATGAATGCAGCCCAACATAAAACCATAAATTTACTTAAAACCTTATTTTTTTGCTCATCAGTTTTCATTAGTGTTTGTGTGTTTAATGTGTGGCCCAAGACAACTCTTCTTCCAGTGTGGCCCAGAGACATCAAAAGGTTGGACATCCCTGCAGATGTATGTATTGTAATGTATGAATATACCCAAGTTCATTCATCCTCTGTTCACAGACATTTTGGCCACTTCTGTTTCACTGTTAATAGACAATGCTACAAACCTCTCGTAAACATGTGTTAAGAGTTTCTATGGGACTTATCTAGAAGTAAAAGTAGTGGATCATATCTTCAACTCTTAGTACGACATTGCTAAATTGCCCCCTAAAGCAGCTGGAACAATTTACCCATCAGTATAAGGGCAAAACAGAATTAAGAAATTTAATTCTCCCTGTTAAAACTAAGGGAAAAGAAACCCAACACACTTAAGAGCATTTTCTTTAGAAAACTTGTAATTGTACTCTTTCTCTGCACCTTTGAAATGTATATAAATATTTTTAAAAGCTAAATAAGCTTCTAACCAGCAATCCAGGGCTGACTTTCTCAAACACCTGGTAGCCATCTCTTTGAAAATATGATCAAGGAAGACAGCTTCCCTTTCTGCCAGTTTCTGAGGAAGGACAGGAGCCCAATCTGAGTCGGCTGCCTAGCCACACAGGTAATTCCAAATACCTACTGCCATAAGTGCTTCTTTTTCCTTTGGATAAAGCCAATTAGTTAAAGACAACACACACGTGTGACAAATGTTGCCATCAAGTCTTCTCACTTGAGCACTATCATAGTTTACCTTGGGAGCACGCAATTGGTTGTATCTATGTACCTCCAAAATGGGAGAACTCTCTTTAGATCTTTGCAATCTCTTAGCAGATTACTTGCGATGTGAATCGCATTCTACATTAATGCTTATTCAAAAATAAAATTGTTGACTTCCGGCCAAGATGGAGGTGTAGGTAGACACGCTGTGCCTCCTCGCACAACCAAAATTAAGGACAACAAAAACCAGGACAGAAAATTGAACTGTATGGAAGTCCCAACGACCATTTATCCAGACCAGTAAGAGGGGCAGAGTCGGTGGCTGGCGGAGAGGGGTCGAGGCAGGAAAAAGCAGTGGCTGGCAGACCCGGGCATGGGAAGGCAACGAGCAGACCCAGTAAGGAGTGCAAGGCAGCTGGCTGTCTGCAGTCACACATTCTCGCACAGATAAACCAGGTGAAAATGGCCAGTGAGACAGACCGCACAACCCAGGGCCCCAGCACCAGGAAATAAAGCCTAAAAGCACTGATTGAAAACACTTGTGGAGGTTGAGGTGCCGGGAGAGACTCCCAGACTCACAGGAGAGTTTGCTGGAGAGACCCACAGGGTCCTAGAACGTGCACAAGCCCACCCACCCAGGAACCGGTACCAGAAGGGCCCAATTTGCTTGCGGGAAGGGGCAGAGGGGACTGAAATCCGACAGAAAACAGAGCAAGTGCCACTGTTCCCTCTCTGACCCTGCCCCCACATACAGCGCTACAACCCAGCAACTGGGTTGCCCTGCCCAGGTGAACACCTAAGGCTCTGCCCCTCACTACTTAACAGGTGTGACCACCTCCCCCCTAAAAATTGGCTCAAACGGAAGAACAAATCAAAGACCCAGAGCCAATACTTTTAAGTGACCAAGAGATAACCAATCTATCAGATGCACAGTTCAAAGCACTGGTGATCAGGATGCTCACAGAATTAGTTGAATTTGTTTGCAAATTAGATGAAAAAATGAAGGATACACTAAGTGAAATTAAGAAAAATGCACAGGGAACCAATAGTGATGGGCAGAAAACTGGGACTCAACTCAATGGAGTGGACCAGAAGGAAGAAAAAAACATCCAATCAGAAAAGAATGAAGAAATAAGAATTCAAAAACATGAGGAGAGGCTTAAGAACCTCCAGGACATCTTGAAACGTTCCAACATCCGAATTATAGGGGTACCAGAAGGGGAAGGAGGAAGAGCAACAAATGGAAAAGTTATCTGAACAAATAATAAAGGAGAACTTCCCCATCCTGGCAAAGGAAATAGACTCCCAGGAAGTCCAGGAAGCTCAGAGAGTCCCAAAGAAGTTGGACCCAAGGAGGAACACACCAAGGCACATCATCATTACATTAGCCAAGGTAAAAATGAAGGAGAGAATCCTAGAAGTAGCAAGAGATAAGAAGAGAGTCACCTACAAAGGAGTTCCCATCAGACTGTCAGCTGATTTCTCCAAAGAGACCTTACAGGCAAGAAGGGGCTAGAAAGAAGTATTCCAAGTCATGAAAGACAAGGATCTACATCTAAGATTGCTCTCCCCAGCAAAGTTTTCATTTAGAATGGAAGGGCAGATAAAGTGCTTCTCAGATAAGGTCAAGTTAAAGGAGTTCATCATCACCAAACCCTTATTTTATGAAATGTTAAAGGAACATATCTAAGAAAAAGAAAATAAAAAACATGTATAGTGAAATGACAGCAAACTCACAATTATTAACAACCACACCTAAAACAAAAACAAAAAGAAACTAAGCAAACAAGTAGAACAGGAACAGAACCACAGAAATGGAGATCACATGGAGGGTTAGCAACAGGGGAGTGGGAGGAGGAGAGGGGGGGAAAGATACGGAGAGTAAGTAGCATAGATGGTAGGTAGAAAATAGACAGGGGGAGGGCAAGAATAGTATAGGAAATGTAGAAGCTAAAGAACTTGTGACACATGGACATGAACTAAAGCGGGGGGAATGTGGGTGGGAGGGGGTGTGTGGGGGAGGGGAGTGAAGGGGGAAATGGGACAACTGTAATAGCATAATCAATAAAATATATTTTAAAAAATAAAAATAAAATAAAATTATTTTCTTTTTCTTCTACCTTTAAAGAGAGGTTTTCTGAGATGGCAGGAGGTTTTCAGTTAAATTTTATTTCTACAACATCAGTATTAGTTAAAAATTCCCATTTCCCTATATCCTTATCAATGTTAGATACTCTCAGAATTTTGAATTTTTGCCAATTTGATAGGATAAGAAATGGCATACCTTTGATTCTTCTCATTTGTATTTCACAAATATCCATTGCGATTAATTGTGTGCTGGTTTGGAAATTATTTGGTATATATTTAGGACTTTACTCATAAAGAAGTCAAGCTTATAACACCCAACTATAAATTGTCAAAGTATAAAAAAAGTCTGATTCAGAATTAAACAATGTAGTTTATTTTTAAAACTTAAATTGAAGAACAATTACCAAAAATCTGTATGAAATAATCTCATTATTAAATCAAGGAAAAATAGTAAACTAAAATTTTAGCTGCCTAATAAATTTCATATTAATTTAAAGTATATATGGTAAATATGTAAATATTTCCATATTACAAGAAGTTTGCAAAGCAGAAATTTAAAAACCCTGTAAGAGCAAAGAAAGTATCTCCCTAATAGGATGGATGCAAAGAGGCCTACTCTAAGACACATAATTAAAATGGCAAAGGTTAAAAATAAAGAGAGAATCTTAAAGCAGCAAGAGAAAAGCAGTGATTTCAGCTGATTTCACAAAAGAAATTTTGTAGGCTAGAAGGGACTGTCAAGAAATATTCAAAGTCATGAAAAGTAGGGACTTATAGCCAAGGTTGCTCTACCCAGCAAAGATATCATTTAGAATCGAAGGGTAGATAAAGATCTTCCCAGGCAAGAAAAAACTAAAGGAGTTTATCATCACCAAACCATTATTATACAAAATGTTAAAGGGACTTAAAAAGAAAAAGAAGATCAAAACTACAAACAATAAAATTGCAATAAAGACATATCTATCAACAATTAAACCTAAAAATACAAACTAACCAAAGAAGAAGAACAGGGACAGAATCAAGGCTAAAGAGAATGGTTCGATGTCTGCCAGATGGAGATGGGAGGGGATTGTGGGGGAATGCATGAGGAGGTGAGAGGATTAACAAGTACAAGTAGGTAATTACAGAATAGCCATGGGGATGTAAAGTACTATACAGGAAATGAAGTAGCCAAAGAATTTATATGCATGACCCATGGACATAAACAATAGTGTGGGAATTGCCTGAGGGAATGAGAGGTACTGGGTGCAGAGGGAAAGGGGAAAATAAAGAAAAAAAATTAGAATGGATTAACATTTAATAAATAAACACTTAACAATAAAAAATTTACATTAAAAGAAAAAGTAATACCCTATAAGAGCAAAGAAAATATCTCCCAATTCAGACACCCTACTGCCACCAACTTCACTGATTTTAAGCACTAAACCAAGCTTTCTTATCAGTCCTTCTGGAAAAGGACCAATTTCTACAGAAGAATCTTAAGGTTAAAGCCAAATCCCAACCAATTTATTCTTATAGTTGCTTAATTATTGGTCTATAGACTGTCAAGTAAAAAAATGAATCTGAATTCTTCCACAGAGGTTGATATTTGGCAATGTTATCCTTAATACATGAAGATGATGTAGAATACATGCTTTGTTTTTCAAATACCAT